AGCGGGGGGGCTCGGGGGCGCGCGGGGTTCACGCGATGCAGCTTGCGAGGGCTATGTGGCGACGAGACAAGAGGCTTGCAGAGAAGGTGGCCAGCGCCTCGGAGACGGCCCGCGCCTGTTTCGATCTTTCGAACTGGCGTCGCACTCGTAGATCCTTCTGCCTTCGAGGGCTGGGCGGGCGCGGCCCGGCGCGCTGCGGCTGAGGAGGGCCTGGGCGAACTACAACGCGCAGCTCGACAAGGCCACGGACGGGCTCGACTGCGCGGGGGCGCGCTTCGAGCGACGCAGCGCAATCGCAGCTTCGGGCCCCCATCGCCGCGCAGATGGCGCCGCGAGCGGGCCCGCTTGACAGCGAACTCTACACGATGATGGAGGGAAGTTGGGCACTCACCTCCCACTGGGCGCCCGTCTTCGCGCCGCCCGCCTTTGGAGCTAACGGGGCGAAGGCGCGCGTCAACAAGACCGCGCGGCCCTGCGACTTCGCTCGCATGGCCCCGCCGTCGAAGGAACTCATTGGGCGTGTCCTTCCTCGTCTGGCCCCTGCCAAGTATTCCCCTGGAGTGGATGGCTTCCCTTGCCGCGCGTGGTCCGCGCGTTCTCGGGGCGCGCGCCTTCTTTGGGCGCCCTGCGCCTGGCTCCTGGATGGGCGGCGCACGCGTCGCAGCGCAGGGCGCGCGCTGCAAGCCTTCCTGCCGAAGGGCGCGCTGGCGGCTGGCGACTACTCCATCGGCGCCCCCGATCAGGCCCGCACTGGGGGGCTGCGCAGCGCGGGCACGAAGGTCATTTCAGCCGCGCTCAACGGCGCCATTACCGATTATTCCGCAGACCACCTTCGGCACAGAGAGGCGTTATCTCTGGGCGCCAACTTGTGTCGCGCATTCTCGAGCTGGATGCAGCGGCTCGCATAGTGTCGTTGCAGCCTGAGCGAGAACGTCGCATGCCGTTGCTTGTCGCGCTGGACTTTGGCCGAGCCTTCCCGAGCCTGCGCCGGCAGCTCGTCTTCGCGGTCTCGGGGCGATTTGCTAAACCCCGCGGCTCTCATGGAGGCAAACAGGGCGTTCTAATATTTCGTCTCGGCGGCCGGGAGAGCTGGCGGAGCGACCTGGGAGCTCTTTGCGCGCTGCGTGGCATCATTCGAGGTGTGCGCTTTCAGGCAGCCCCTCCGCCTCAGCTACTTCACCATTTCTGGAATGCAAGCAACGCGGTGCGTTTCATGCGCGCGCTGATGACATCGGCTGGGAGCGCTTGCGCTTTGGCAAGCTTGATTCGCGCTTCCTTGCGCGAGCCATGGCAGTAGCAAAACACATGGCCAAACTGAAGCTCAAGCCTGCGAAAGCATCATCGTCCCGCGTTCGCAAGAATTCTCGCTGGCGCTCGGCGCCTCGCTTTCGTGCTTTTGGGGGTGAAGATCTCGTCCTGGACGGCGTTCAAGGTGATCGACAAGCTGCTCCACCTCGGCATGCGGATGGGGCTTGCAGCGCGTGCCGCAACATCATGGGGAGGCGCCGCGGGCAATGCGCCGCGCTCGCCCTTCGGCTCCCGCGCAATCGGCCGTGCCTTTATCGCTCAACTGCATCAAGTACGTGATGCGAGCACTTCCGACGATGGGCCACGCGGCGCAGTTCATTTCGCTCGACCAACAGCATGCTACCTTCGACGTGCACGTCCTTGTCCGTCTTCTTCGGCTGCCAGGTGGTGCTCTTCACTTTGTCGACTTCGTCTGCCTTGAGGATTGGGGAGGGCCCAAATTCAGACACCTGGCATCGGCATCCTTCGCGGCCCTCATTCGGTTGGGGGTGGCCACGCATCCCGAGCACCGTCTGTGCCTCCGTCGCATGCGTCGGGCCGTTGTGGCCCGGTGCCCCCGTCGTGTCCTGCGAGATGTGGTGTCTGGTCATTCTCTATCTCCACACGTCTGGCAGACCAAGGCATTTGTGGAATATCTAGAGGAGGCTGCCCGACCTAACGCATCGGCTGGCGCGCGCGCCGCGCGCCAGCACCGTCGGCTTCAAGATGCTGACCCACGACGGGTACCACGGGTCGCCGACCGCGAACTGTTGTCCACGATTGCCAGCAAACGTGTCTCTTTAACCCCATCTGCCCCCTCGTCGCTAGTTGACACGCTGATCAAACGTTAGGCAACATGGTGTCCTGATGATCTGCAGGGTTTACCGACTCTCCCCTGGGCGGCATTGGAAAATAAGTTGCGTTCCTGTCCGATCTCGCGGGGCTTCGGCGTCTTCCGTTCGCTCCTCGGGGGCTGGCTGACGTCGGCGCGCATCGCTACTCCTGGTGAAGTCAAAACGTGCATCGTCGGGTGTCAAGACTTGCTTGGACGACCAGGCGCACTACTGGGACTGCCGTGGGCTGGCGCGGGCGACTGCCATGGCCAAGTCTGGGGGTCGACTCCTACCTGCCCGCTGGCCGGTTGGAACGATGGGGTCAAGCAGTACCTAGCGACAGGCACTTGCTAAACCTGCAGCTTGCCAACACGGTGCAT